AGAGAGAGAGAGAGAGAGAGAGAGAGAGAGAGAGAGAGAGAGAGACAGAACACAGATGTAATCTCTGCCCTGGAGTCACTTAGATGATTTAAAATCATGTTGCATAGATCTGCTAAAAGGTTTTAAAGAAAATACGTGTTGCAGAGAAAGCGGGGATGTTCGCATTTTCTGTGGAATTAGAGGCCAGGGCTGGCATGCTCTTAAAGATGAGTTTTTGTGGGACATGCATTTTGCTCTAGGACTGACCCTCTGTAGGCTTAGTGGTATTGAGGCAAATGGCACAGAAAGCCGTGTGGCAATATCATGCCCAAAGTCAAAGTGAAACCTTGTAGAGACTGCCAGTTTTTGCTGGGTTTGGGGTATAAATCATGTGGAACTGCCAAGTCTCACATGATTTCCACCCAAGCCGTAAATCAGACCGAATTCCTCTGAAACGTGGCCCAGGAACGACTTAGAACTCGAACCTGGGTTCTTGAAAAGGATCAGAACTTCAACTGGCCAAGCTGGATTTCAGGTTTATAGCTGAGCCTCTAACCATGGGAATTCCACCCAGGTGCCCCTGTCATCTTTAGGGTGTGTTCTCTTCTCCGGCACGCACGCCATGTTGGAGATTGTATACTTACTTAATTGTTCCCCTCTCCTCAGTGTGTGCATTAGGGAGGTAGGGAGGGTGTTTCCCTTGTTTGTTATCAGATTCATACCTCTTTGCACTCAGCAGATGTGTGATTAATATTTGTGGAGGAAGCGAAGCAATGGCTTCCAGCTTTCTTTTGTTTGCTTTCCGTGACTCATGCTGGGAAATTTTAAATGTGGGCCCTGGTCACAAACAGGAAGATGATGTTGTTTTCATATTTTCCTAGACATTGATGAATGCACCATAATGAACGGTGGTTGTGAGACCTTCTGTACAAATTCGGAAGGCAGCTATGAATGCAGCTGTCAGCCGGGATTCGCACTGATGCCCGACCAGAGATCATGTACTGGTGAGTAGGTTGAAGCGTCATGTGGAGATGAATGAGTTCGCTAAGCCCAGTGGTTCAGAGCCTAGGCTTTGGAATCATGCAGCCCTGGATGCATATCCTTGTATGGTGTGTCCATGATCATAGTACCCAATTTCTCATCCATTCAGTGGGCTTCCGATCACTTGTATGGAGGAGTATATGTAGCCCTTAGCATAGGACTTGGCACGTGCCCAATAAATGGGGGTTTAGAATACATAGTCTTCATTCTTCAGTATTTATGGAGTGTGATCCAGTGAGAATTAGAATGTGTTCCCTAGACCAGCAACATCAGCATCACCTGAGAACTTGTGAGAAATGCAAACTCTCAGCCCATCCCCCAACCTCCTGAATCAGAAACAGGCATAGACCCCAGGAATCTGTACTGTAACAAGCCTCCCAGTAGATACAGATGTATGCTAAAGGTTATAACCAGTAGCCTAATTGTCCCTTCTTACTGCATCATCCTTGGCTAGAAGTGTGTGTGTGTGTATGTATATGTGTAGATAGATAGATAGATAGATAGATAGATAGATAGATAGATAGATAGATAGATAGAGACAGAGAGAGTTCTTCGTAGTCATGTAGGGATGAGAAACAATCTAGGCAATGCAGGGTTGTTATTATGACTGTGGTTGAGAAAAGAACTTGGGTTTAGAAACCATGGTGATTTTATCTGACTGAGAAAAGGACTCTAATAAATCCTAGTTATAAATTTGACAATCGAGCTTAAATGTTGATAACAAATATTATTACTTCATATGCTTCTGGTATAGATGTTTATTTCAAGCAGTTTCACTGTAAACGATCAGTAACGCATAAGGTGTTAGGCCTTGACCATTTACAATGTGACATAAGAATAAGCTTCATCATAGACACAAGACCACTCACCACATAAGGGACTGCCACGTGGGTGGGGACCTTGCCCTGGAGCAGGAGGTTGTGAATCTCGAACACAGTTCTTTCCTTTGTCATCTAGAGGTGGTTACCTGACCAGATGGTTTCTGTAAAGTTTCATTTGCATTTGAAAGTGAGTGGTCCCGGGCAAGTAGGCTGGATTGTTTTAAGCTGGGTAAATAAACCTCACGGAATAATGGAGCCAGCATCAGTAATGGATGGCTATTGTGGTTTCTCTGTGCAGACATTGATGAGTGTGAAGACAACCCCAACATCTGTGATGGAGGCCAGTGTACCAACATACCTGGGGAGTACAGGTGCTTGTGTTATGATGGATTCATGGCATCTGAAGACATGAAGACTTGCGTAGGTAAGTGAAGAGAAACATTTCAAATGTGTCTAGTTATTCACAAGCATTGCTAAGCTACATAAAGGCTAGTTGGGTTAATTGATAAATTGATCCCCACAGAAAATATATAAGGGTATCGGACTAATATTTTAAGGTCAACCTTCCATAGAGAAACTACCATTTGACTATCTGATAGTCTTTTCAGATATATTATATTGGACAGTTGACCATTGGTTTAGTCCAGATAGTTTACTCCAATGTATCCCTATACACTATTTCTGCCACTTAGCCTTCCTGCCACTGTGACTCATAAGTTTTAGGCTTTTAAAATGTTGGACAAAATGCAAATAAAACTTGTAGCTGACAAGAAAGCAATACACTTTAGAATTTGTTTTTGATAGATTCTATCGCTATGTTTCCAAGTTTGTTCATCTTTTCTTCTGTGATTTCTAACTCCTTGAAGCCCATCCAGGGTATTTCTCGTGTAAGACATTTCAGTTTTCATTTCCAGATGTTCATCTTGGGTCTTTTTATAGCTTCTTTCTCTCTCTCACTACTGAAAATGTTCCAGTTGTCCTCTGACTTTTGAGCATATGGAATACAGTTGTAATAACTATCTTAATGTCCTTGTCTACTGGTGCTATCATCATTTGAATAAATTGACTCTCTTCATTTTTGGTCATTTCGCATGCCTGGTGATTTTGGATTCAATGGCAGGCATTGTGAACCACTATTAGGTGCTGGATATGTTTGTATTCCTAGAAATAGTCTTGAGCTTTATTCAGGAATATAGTTAAATTATTTGGAAACAGTTTGATCCTTCCAAGTCTTGATTTTTAAGCTTTTCAGCAGCAGTTAGTCTCAGGCTAATTTTACCTTCTGTAAAAATGGCATGGTGGCAGGGTCAGACCTCCACATCTAATTCGTAAGGGAGGGAGGAGAATCATTATTGGCATCAATAGTCCAAGGATGATTGCTATGAGGGGGAGGCCAAACAGACCTCCACCTTTCCCCCTGATTATGGATCCTGACACCAGCCTTTTCTCCCACAGAATGCTGTACTTCTGTGCTGCGTTCTCTGTTCTCTAATGCTTTGCAGTGGCCACACAGCACTTACAGACCATACTCACAGGGATAGCACTTATTACCAAACTAACATGTTACACTTCAGATTCAGGAATGATTCCGAACACAGTTCTTTGATCAGGAAGTCCCTCTAAACTTGACTCACAGGCAGGCCTCCCTCTGGTCCTTGACTTTTTGCTCTGGCTTCTGCCATCCTTGAATAAGTGTTAGCAACTCTCTTTTAGCTTTACTTTGAAGGGCCTGGAGGTATCTCATCCCACTGGCAACCCTCCTTCCGCCCAAACACTTCACTTTCTTGTTCCATGGACTGAGAAACTCATTGCTACATTGCCTATTGGTCTTGACACTCCCTACATCTTCTTTCCACTGTTTCTCTGTTGCTATTTCTCGGCAACTCACTGTCTCCAGTGTTACAGCTCACGTTCTCTCTCGCTCTCTCTCTCTCTCTGTCTCCCCGTAAGGCTAGTGGAATGGCATAATTGACCCATCACCTCCATCTACTTTCATACACTTATTTTTATGGTCCCATCCACAAAGATTCCTTGCATCTTACTTGTATTAGCAGCAAGTAGACCAAGGCATTTGGTGGGCCACAGGCACCTCACCAGCCGTTGTGAATCACACAGATTATGGCTAGAAGGACCATGTAATGTAATTCACTGCACTACACCATATTACTGGGACAAGACCCTCTGGATATACTACCTTGTGCTCCGTGAATTATGACGTGTTCCAATCTGGCTAAATCAGGCACAAATCCAGACCTCCTACAAACTCTGAAGATGATTCCCTTTATTCTTTTGGGGGGGTTCTTTCTCCATTGAGTCATTTCCATCCATACATGGACTGATTCATACCCAGCTGAGTAGTTGAGAGGGACCCTCTGTCAATCTCTTTCTATCTCCCCCTGCCATCTCTCTCTCTCTCTTGGGGTCTTTCTTCTGTTGTTTACCCTTCCCAGTGAACTCTAGGTACCTGGCCTTACTAGGTTTCCAACCTTGTCTCTTCAACTCAGGTTCACTGCAAGGCTCTACCTGGGATCCCCTCATCTTTCATGACCTCGTCACGAGTCATTCTAGTGATAAATTGGAGCAATCCTATAATTCCTTTCCATTGACTTTCTTTTGCTTCTTCATCAATACTTTTTATTGCTTAGTATCCAAAGTCTATAAAACTTTCAAACAAAATATATTTTGTCCACTTGCATGAGTTGTTTCAGGCAGAAGGGTAAATCTGCTTCCTGCCACTCCATTTTGGATGGGAGCAAGAGTCCAGGATTACTGGGCAATCCCTCCTGAATGGAAAGTCCTCGAAGTTAAAGTGAATGTCATAAAAAACTTAATTTAAGTGAAAGTTGTAAACTACCTGCACTGGATGATCGGTTCATTCACCAATTCTTCTAAAAGATATCAATGAATTTGGCTAGTTTATTCTTTTGGGGGGAGTCTTTCTCAGCATTGAGTAATTTCTGTACATGCATGCACTGGTTATTGCCTAGCTGAGTAGTTGAGAGGGACCCTCTGTGGGTTATGTAAAAACCTTTCATCTTGTTTACAGGTGCTGTTTTCAAAGTTCTGTAAACTCTCACCTAAACAGGCTGAGGGCTCTCCACTCTGCCTGGAGTCGAGCCCATTTATTTGATTGTTTGAACCCCTGTTTGTGACCCAGATGGAAGTCCGTCAGGATGGTTAGCCTAAAATATAGTCCATGATGTGAATTGGGGGACTTAAATATGACAATTTTCTTTCTCATTTATATATTTCAGAAACAAGTGTGGGGACACAGAACTAAAAATAATATCTCTGTTTTACAGATGTCAATGAGTGTGATCTGAATCCAAATATCTGCCTCAGTGGAACTTGCGAAAACACTAAAGGCTCCTTTATCTGCCACTGTGATATGGGATATTCCGGCAAAAAAGGAAAAACGGGTTGTACAGGTGTGTTTTCAAATTGAACAAAAAACACTAAGTGGTTAGGATCGAATGCTACATATTTAAAAGTTAATACAACTTTTAAATCTAATAACATACTAACTCTATTATAAAACATTTTGCATAACATTTTAAAAATGGAATGTAGGATTTAGTTCCTTGAAATTTGTCATACATTAGGCTGAATGTATGCTAAGTTTTTTGTTTATCTGTGCAAAAAGGTAAATAGATGTAAAATATGTATTGAATGAATGAATACTGTATATAACACACTAAAGTAACATTAAAGTGATTAATGTGTTAATTATCAGACATTCTTAGCCTTTATTAAAACAAGCCTTTCTGAATGGCCCCATGGCCAACACTTCATCTAAGGTTTTGTAACTGAAATTACTTTTTAACAAAACAAATTTTACAATTCATATATTTCATCAACTCTCATTAATCTTCAAGATGCTTAAAATTAGTATAAATATAAGATATACATAGGTAAATATATTAATATGTAGCAAGAAGGATATAGGTCTATATACATGTAGTTATATGTTAAGTATCAAGGCACAGATAGACATTGGGCCTCTACTCAAGTCCTCTCTCAACTCAAGAGCACTTTGTTCTAATAACCTGGCATTCTGTGATGCTCACCTTCCTGACAAGATTGCTGAGCATAAGCTAATGTGGTGAAGAAAGCTGATGGTACCTGGATATTACAAGATATAGCGCCTGAGATCTTAAAGGCTTGAAGTTAAACAAGCGGCCATCTAGCAGGGAAACAACAAAGCCTACATGGAAGAAGCACACCAGTCTGTGTGATCATGAGGTGTCAACGGGATCAGGTATCAGGCATCAGAAGACCCCAAACAAATACTCATATTGATGTGAACAAGGGGGGTCAGAATGGAGACCCAAGCCCATCTGTAGACACTTGGACATCCCCTCATAGAAGGGTCACAAGGAAGGGATGAGCCAGCCAGGGTATAGTATTGCACCAATGAAACATACAACATTTCTCTAGTTCTTTGATGCTTCCTCCCTCCACCCCTGCCACTGGCTGGACCAGATCATGTACACTGGTACAGATAAGAGCTCTTGGAACGCGGAATCCAGGACAGAAAAACCCCTCAGGAACAATAATGGGAACAGTGATGCCATGAGGGTAGGGGACAGGTGGGTGGAGAAGGGGAAAGAGGAGGAACTGATCGCAGTGATTGTCATATAACCCCCCTCTAGTTTTGTGCATGTCTTGTATTTAAAACAGTGTTTGCTATTATGAAAACTTCTACAATAAACATAACTCTGTATATATTTAAAAAATAGTATACTTTGGATGTATTCAATCCCTTTAGCCCCAGAAATCTTCATTCATGGGATTTTGCAAATCTTAGGAAGTGATAATTACACCATTTGTAATTGTATTTGTCTAATGGCAATCGCACATAGGAAAAATTTCCCCACAGTATTTGTAGGGGATTATTCTATTCTGCATCAAGTGGCAGAAAGCACGCTGGGGAAATGACATATTTAAAAGTCTGGTTGGTATCGTTCAGCATGCGGGGAATGATGAATACATGGAATGATTTAATACATTTTGACTGCAGTTACTTAACAGTAACAAAATAGATTATGACATCTAACATAATTTAAAACATAATAGAGACCATAATAACTTTGTATTAGGTAACTGTGTGATTTCTTCCAAATAACAGACTTTAATTCCAAAAGCCAGTTTGGCAAGCCTTGTGACTTAGAACAACATTCAAGTATTTATAGATTGGCAATGTGGCAAATGTAAAGGCTTACCACCCTTCAACATATTTCAAGAGCAACCCAACGTGCAATTATTTATCATTTCAAACAGGCTAGTAACGCCCAGCTTCAACTTCATAAATACCTCTGATAATGGCAATATATTACCATTGATTCAGAAGTGACCAACGCTAACCGATTATGAGTGGAAGCCATCAGTGAGGAGGACACTTATGTGCTCACTCTGCACTCTTCCCATGGAGGGCAGCAGGGCATCGGGCTCTTACAAGGCAGGGGCATGGGGTATGTTTGCTCTCAAAAGTCCATGTGATCTCTGGGGTGCATATGATGCTTAGCTTCATGGGTGAGAGTCCAAGCTTTGTTTTCAGCTTTATGTTTAAATATGGGCCTTAGGGAAAAGGATGGTGGTCTGCTATTAATCAAGAGGAAGGCCTGTCAGTTCCATATTGCGTCTGACCTCATAGGGTGAGTGATGGTCATCTAACTTAATGTCAGCCCAGAGAGGGGTCGTACTCATGAAGAGGAAGTTCATCTAATTGGACGGTGCTCATCCTCTGTCAGAAACAAGGTCTCCAGGATTCCCTGCTCCAATTCTAGTCTAATAGGGCATGTGCAGGGACTGGTTATGTCAGGGTCCTTCTCATGAAGGATGACTCACACCACCAATGATAGCGAAGATTACATAGCACCAGCCCATATTTCATTCTGAGTGGAAACCAACTTGATCGCAGCCACCATCATCACCACCACTGCCAATACCATCAAGCAAGCTGGAGTTGTTAGGGAATATTAACGTTGTTGTAGGTAAATGGCATATAACGCCTATAAACCCAATGACACAGTGTCTGGCAATAACTATGACTATTGGATGGCCTAAATGGCTAAGAGATTGGCTACCAACTGATAGGTTCAGCAGTTCACTCAGAGGTGCCTGGGATGAAAGACCAGGCATCTACTGGAAAATCAGTCATGGAAGACGCTGTCGAGTACAGTTCTACTCTGACACACGTGCGTTGCCATGAGTCGTAAGTGATCGTACAGTGATTGGTTTTAAAAAAAAAGAAAATTGCTAAATGATATACCAGGCCCAGTTTCTAGGGGCCATTTTAATTAAAGATGCAACTTTTGGTCTACCAAACATTCTGTATTACTAGTTCCTTATACATGTTTGAAGTTCATTTTTAGAAGGAAGCTCTTACCTTGTATGCACAAAGCCTAGCTTTGCATCATTGAATTTGCACAGATACTAAGACTGTGGGAACAAGAGCTGGGCATTCCGTGGTAGGTGACACGATGTCCGCTTCTATTAAAGACAGCGACTTTTCACTAAAGGACAAGTACTGTATGATGCCACTTATATAAAATAGGTCACTGTAGAGCTACCAGAGTTTCTTGGTGGTTACAAGGGATGGCAGGGAAGAGGGAGGAGGTAACGGAGGGGGTTGTCTTAGGGGACACTGAGTTTCTGGTAAGGGTGGAAGAATAATTCTGGAATGGATAGTCATGAAAATTGTACAGTCTGATAAATGAAACCAGTGGCATTAAACTGTGTTTGTAAAACGTGTTGAAATGGCAGGTGTTTTGTAGATAGATGGATAGATGATAGATAGATAGATAGATAGATAGATAGATAGATAGATAGATAGATAGATAGATAGATACCACAATACAACAATGATAAGAAGAAAAGACTGAACTCTTTTAGTATATCACGTGGATGGAAACATAGATTTGAAATCCAAGAAACTCTTTATCCCTTCAAGGGTCAACATGCCCCTGTCCCCTGCCCCCTACGTTTTAAATTTGTGACCTAAAATGATGGTTCGAATTGTTTAAATCCAGTTAGGATTGCAGGACAAAGACTCAACTTTCACAGCCCCTTAGATATCAGAGTATACACAACATGTGGCTTTCTCATCTAAAAGGCTAGAACCCTGGATTTTATTCCCAGTTCTTCTATTGGCTAGGAGAGTCTGTAGGCTGCTTCCCTGTTCCCGAAGTGTTGCCTTAGAGTGGGCATGCCTGCCAGGGCAGATGGACAGAGCCGTGCATCAGGGCAGGTAGAAGAGGAGAGGAGGCCTTCTCTCTACAAACATCGTCGTTAACAGCCAAGGGTATCACATCGATTGGAAATGACGTACACAAGGAGGGGTTGGCAGACAGTTTGGGATACTTAGAAACAAGTTCTTAAAAATATGGGCCAAAATGTTTTTAATCCTGTGTAACTAGGATTCTTTCAGCCCAACATTAGTGTCATTCACAGCTTAGAATATCACCAAGTTACCTTGGTGATGGCTATGTTAAAGACAAGTGTTTATAATGTCCCAGGCAACTAATATAAACAGAGATAGGTATCTTGGCTTATTGGATAAGCAAACCACACAGCAAAGAACAGCCAAAGAGAGACCTAGAACTGTTTTAATAACATATGTAAATATATATACTTATATGTCTTTCTATGTATATGTATGCATATGTATATTTGTGTATACACCTACATACATACAGAATATCCATAGAGAGCACCCTACAAATGAATGATAAAAATGTTATTTCATAGGCAAAGAACTTTGTTTCATGAAAACCAAAAAAAAGTCCTCTGCGTTCCATTACAGCTGTGTCTAACTATTTCGGCTCCTTTGTCATTACTGATTGTTTCCACTTTAACGAATAAACATGTGTTTCCCTCCAATCACTTTAGCAGTGCTCGCAATCCACCCACCGACTTGCATTCCCAGCCCACACAGATGTTAAGGGCTTCTTTTGTCTTATCCAGAGCTGTGGCTCTTGCCGAGGCGAATGCTCAATCTGACAGAGGGAGGATGTGCGTTTAACTTGAAACCGAGCACGCGGTTCTCTTGTCTTTGAATTCAGGAGACGGGATGATGATTTTTCGGTGGCCCGCTCTCTGGCTGGCCCTGATTTGTTGTAAATAAGCAACAAACTGGGGAGGGAAAGCCGAGGATGCTGCCCCGTGCCGTCTTTGGTGGGGCCTGGCTTTGCCCCAGCTCATTGAGGAGACTCTACCTCGAGTTTGCTCAGCTGCTCACCAAGAGTTCGCAGGATCAAGCCTACATAGAGGTGTCTCGGCATCAAGTCCTGGTTATCTGGTTCTAGAGATAATCAGCCATTGAAACCCCGGTGGAACACAGTTCTCCTCAGAGAGGCATTGGCCGCCACTCGGCAGAGTCAGCTTAATAGAAACTGGTGATTTTCCACAAATGAGGGGCTCAGTTCGTGAAAGACGCATCCTCTCCCCAAACCAAAAGCCAAATCTGCTTCCATCCAGTCAGTTCCAACTCGTAGTGACCCCGCAGAACAGTAGAACTTTGGGATTCAGAGACCGTGAATCTTCCTGAAAGGACATAGCCTCTCTCCGCCAGTACTAAGCAGCTGGTGGGTTTGAACCGCCTGCCAACCTGGTGGTGAGCAGTCCCACATTTAACCAGCGACATCCCCAGGGTTCCTGACAGATGATTACATGGTATAAAATCACAAGTGTTTCCAGTGAAAACAAAAGTATTTCTGGGTAATTCCATTTCTCAAGCGATCTGGTTGCTTCCGCGTGAGAAATGTTGCCAGTGGGTCTCAGTGCATGGGAGAGAATCACAGACTTACTTCAGCGCCGTCTGAAGTTGGTAAAAGTTTGCATTCATTTCCTTCCAGCGTCTTATCACGGCTAATTCTTATCCTCTGGCTGTCAGCCTGTGAGAACTCCATGGGTGGTGTTGGGGTAAGCAGTCTGTGCTCAAATTGAGAAATCCCAGTAGCCTTCACATTGGACTTCTCCTTCATTCAGACTTCTGCTTTCTCTATGCGACGTCAAGGAGCTACCTCAGCAGGATTGCTTTGCTCAATCGGGGATTATGTTCCCGGAGCCCAGGTCGCAGGAAAGACGGGTGTTGGTGTTGATACAGCAGGAGGTCTCTCACTGTTCCCAGGAGTGGAGAGAGGTCTGTGCCGACATGGACCCTTAAGGGGGATGCCAGGCTCACAGGAGACACACCCAGGCTCCGTGCCCAACGTGGTGCACACCACACCCTGGCCATCAGGAGAGCCGCACAAAGCAGACCCTTTGAGTCGTTGGGAGGCAAGTTCACGGGGGGTTAAGGAGGTTGCAGTGTCAGCCCTAAATTTGAATGTCTTTGCTTTTCTTGGCCTGTGCTTATTTTTAATCTTAAAAAGGAATTTTCTGTCTGGAGCAAATTTGTGGAGGAAAGGGAACATTTGTACTGAAAGAGATGTTCTTGGCAAGCGCGTTTCCTTCATATTATTGAAGAGGAGAGTCTTTGAAGGCAGCATTTTTTTGTTTGCTTATTTTCCTCATGGCTCAGTTTCCCCGCCTGTTTGCTTCTATGATGAAGTCTTAGGCCTACGTCTGCCCTGAAAACGATTCATGAGAAATGGTGTTGACTACACACACACACACACACACACACACAATTCACAAATTTTTTTTCAGAAGTTGCTGCTTATCAAAAGTGTAAGACATTGGGATAATGACTCAGACAAATATTCGCAAAATAGAAAATTGAATCCTGGCTCCTGAACACCCCAAAGTGCACAATACACAGCCACTTACAGATTTGATTTCTATTCACCTTGAAAATATTATAGCAAATTACAAACGCTTTCTTGGACTGGAATTTTATATTAGCTTAATGATTTTCCAACAGGAGAGAGGATAGTCTTCTTTGAAGACTACAAGATTTAATTTAATTACAAGATTGCAAGATTTAATTTAATTACAAGATTAAACATGGAAGGGAAGGTTAAAACGGTATGAATATGATGCATTTGCGTTGGACTGCTAACCCCTGCAACGTTGGTAGTTCAAACCCAGCTGCGACTTCATGGGAGAAAGGAGGGCTGTTCGCTCCGGTAAAAATTTACAGTCTTGGAAACCTACACAAGGGTGATGAGTCAGAAATGACCCACTGACTGGATTTGGATTAAAATTTGGGCAGGGCGGATTTTGCATACATGTGTAGTATATGCATGTGTACTTCACTGACCCACTATTATTCTGTGGGTAGTGGGCATGCTATCAGCTTCTGAACACTGTCAAATTACTTAGATAATCAGAAAAAAGCAGGTGCTCTCAACTAATTTTTTTAATGACTGGTTGTTTTTTCAGACATCAACGAATGTGAAATCGGAGCGCACAATTGTGACAGGCACGCAGTATGTACCAACACAGCAGGAAGCTTCAAATGTAGTTGCAGCCCGGGGTGGATTGGAGATGGCATTAAGTGCACTGGTGAGTTCGAAAAATGCCGGTAGTTGCTTGTTGTGATATGCAGTGTTGCAAATATAAAAATATTAATTCTACCTAGAAACCCTTTATGTATTATTAAAGTTGAAAGTGGCACTTTCTTTCAATAATCACGTGACCGTTTCCTTTCAGATCTGGACGAATGCTCCAATGGGACCCACATGTGCAGCCAACATGCAGACTGCAAGAATACCATGGGGTCCTACCGCTGCCTCTGTAAGGAAGGCTACACGGGCGACGGCTTCACCTGTACAGGTAGGTACCACCAAAACGTCAGTCTCAGAAGCAAAGTATTCCACACCTTTGGGCATTATAGACAACCACTGACAGGAAAAAAAATTACCGATTTGAAAGTAGATCCTTCCAGAATGAAAATATGGGCTAAGCCAATTAGGGAGACCTCGAAAGCTTAGTATACATATGTGTATATGGGAAGATACTGAAAGTGGAGAGGACTTGAAGCACTTGCTGGTGCAGATCCCGGACCACAGTCTCAACATAAAGACGACAAAAGTCCTCACCGCTGCATCCATAAGAAACATCATGTCGCACAGAGAAAAGATTGACTTTGTCAAGGATTTCACTCTACTTAGATCGACACTCAATGATGGTGGAAGCAGTAGTCAAGAAATCAAGCAATGACATATTGCATTGGGCCAGGCTGCAAAAAAACCCCAAAAAACAACACTTTTGAATGTTAGAAAGGAAAGATGCCCTTGAGGGCTAACTAAGGAACACATAACCCACGGCTTGTTACTTTCAGACACAGCATAGGTGTGTGAAAGGCAGACAATGAACAAGGCAGACCAAAGAAGAATTGCTGCTTTTTTATTATGGTTTTGATGTGGGATATTGATGGTGCCATGAACGCCTGAAGAACAGACAAGGTGTCTTAGAAGCAGGGCAGCCACAATGCCCCGAGGAAGCAAGGATAGGGAGATTTTGTCTCACATACTTTTGATGAGCTGGATTGACATGGTGCTTGCAACAATGAGCTCAAACATGGTGGCCATACTTGCGAGGGCGAGGGGAGGCTTCGTTCTGTCACACAGACTCCATTCTGTCGCACAGACTCGGCACGAATCAGAACCAGTGCAGCAAGCCACAGTGCCACGGGTTTGAAAGCAAGTCACCCGTGCTTTTGTTTGCCGGAAACTTTCTATTTTTGTGCTTCTTGCTCACTGATCATTTGTGTTTCACACCAAATCCAATAGGAAGCTTGCTGTAGGAAGCTACGTGAGGACAAGAGATTAAGTAAAGTAATAGTTGAAGCACATTCTGAATCAAGTGGACGATTTATATATATATATAAACATATATATATTCTCTCTAGTCATTTAAGTAAAACATTCATAAATACTTTGTATGGAATTGAGCCAATTCCAGTTTCAAGTGAATGACATTTTCAAGTGCATGACATTTTCTTCTCAGAGCTAATGAAGTCTCAGTTAATTAATTGAGATTAACACGAGCTACTACATATATAAAACCAAAACCGGACTCACTGCCATCCAGTCAATGCTGACTCATAGCAACCCTTTCTGTGTTTCCGAGCCTGTAACTGTTTACAGGAGTAGAAAGCCCAGCTTTTCTCCATTCGGAGCTGCTGGTCATTTCGAACTGCCGACCATGCGGAGCACATCAACCCGTAACCACTACACCAGCAAGGCCTCCGCTACATCTATAGGGGAGCTTCACAAAGCTTGTGGGAAAATTATGCTATGTATTAATTCGATTTTCTGTGAACTTTCTGAAGCCCACCTCCCCGCATGTTTAAGATAATGTGATTCGATCCTCATACATGCATAAATGGACTATGAATACACTTCCGTGAACATAAATGCACATGCAACACAGTTTAAGCTATTAGGGCGTTGGTTTTCAATAAAAAAATATAGTATGGTCTATAGCTGCTCATAAGAATTTTATAACATTACTTTATCCTGAGCACTTGACTCATAAGAAGTCACTTACACACAAAATAGACTAAGGCCCATTAGGTGATTCACCTGGATTTTTTTTAATGCATGCAATGTTTTGTCATACATGACATTGTTTTTCACGAAGTTCAGTGAAGTTTTGTCATCTACAACTATGACTTTAAAAAACGTGCCAAGGTTTATGTCTTGGGCGTATTCGTGTGTTCGATAGTTTTAACGCCTCTACTTAAGAGCAAAACTATGTAGAGATTCATCAGACAGGAAGCTCCGGGCTGCGGTTAGGGTTGTCGTCCTTCCGTTTGTGTTTTGTGCTGTGCAGCTGAGCTGGCTCTGGAACCGGAGGAATGGGCACAAACCATGACATGTTATTTCCGGTCACGGTAGTGGCCGCATGGAGAGGTCCCTCTCGGCAAAAAGCTTGGTTTGTTCCATCTCAGTAGAGCTCACTCAGCATTCAAGATACTGGGCTCCAGGTTGCTGCAATCCTCTGGATCACGTTAGCATTCCAAAGAGAAAAAGAGACGCCGTGTAAATACATGGAGTAGAAAGGCTGACTCACCACTTCTGCCCGCGGGGATGCCCCCGGGGATTGCGTGTGGCAGGGCTGGGGAAGGGGGAAGATGGCAGGGAAAGTAACCGGTGTTTCTTCCCCTTGCAGATCTTGACGAGTGCTCCGAGAATCTCAACTTGTGCGGCAACGGCCAGTGCCTCAATGCCCCGGGAGGATACCGTTGTGAATGTGATATGGGCTTTGTGCCCAGTGCCGACGGGAAAGCCTGCGACGGTAGCCGACGGGGATGCAGCCGCGAACCTTACGGGCCTGGGATAGTTGGTCATTTAAATATTCCTGAAGCTCCCGCCCACCTCCCCACCCCCGCCCCCTAATTCTTTGGCATTGTATCAGCTACCTCTGTGGAGGGGTTGGACCCCCGTTGAGCCAGTTATGTGTGTGCCAAAGGAAAATCTCAAGTCTCTGGCTACAAACTGCACATGAAATCCCGGCTGGGTAGTCTCCAAGGGGCACCCGTTGGTCACAACAGAGAGAAGAGAGCTGGGTGCGGCTTACTCAGTGCCAGCCATTTGTCCCTGTGGGTAGAGGGTCTCAAAGTGTAGGCCCTCCTATTGGGAAATTATCTTCAAAGATGGAAGCAAAGGTTTTCATCTTTGCCATGGTCTGGTTTCTGGAAATCAAGTAGAACATTGTCTTCCCATCTAGGGCAGTGGTTCTCAACCTTCCTAATGCCACAACCCTTTCATACAGTTCTTCATGTTGTGGTGCCCCCCCCCCCCCCCCTAACATTATTTTCTTTTTTCTTCTTAGTCCCCCTTCCCCCTCACCCATAACATTATTTTCGTCGCTACTTCATCACTGCAATTTTGCTACTGTTATGAATCAGGCGACCCCTGTGAAAGGGCCGTTCGACCCCCAGGTTGAGAACCACCGTTCTAGAGCATCATGGCCTGTGTGTCTCTCCATAGCTCTAGAGAGCTAACTTACCGGGGCAGAGAGCAGCCGTGTGCAATGCCGACCAGTAGGGCATCCTCTGGCCGTAGGCCCTACGTCACATTACCAAGAGTAGGGCTCTTTCTTCCTGAGCTGTGTTGATCAGATCAGAGCCTGTTGGCAAAGGGTGGGTCTCCTTCAGAAAAGGAAGGGTCTCCTCTTTACCCACACTTGTCACAGTTAAGGTTAGTACCCCCTTTTTGAAAAGAAAACTAACTGACGAATTTAAAAGATCTTAGTAGAAATGAGCGTGTGATCACCATGGAGCATGCACGTTTAGAACAAGGGCCGGATGAATGCATTAGCTCATAGTTGCTCCTTGTTAAAACGTGGATGCAACCTCCGTCGTTACCTGCGGCTGTAAATAGTTTTCCTCCTTGGGGACCCGTCGGGGCTTCTTTATACAGTTCACATTAAGTAGGCAGAGTTTGATATACAATTCCCGTGAGGCCAGAGACCAGAGTACGCCCTTCATCGTGTGCCCGATGCCTCGCTGACTCTTGGTCCTCTGCGCATCCAAGGAAAACACCTCAGGGAACATAGTCGCCGTCAGCGGCACACTTCTCTCCAAGCAGTGAGAGAAGGTGTTGTTTGTTTGTTTGTTCTTGATCAGAATCACTGCTGGCAGCATGGCCCTGGTTATTTATAGTCAGTGTCAAGGTGGAAACTGGGCCTGTGCTTCCATTGCACAAGCAGAGCGTCAGTGTGAGCCAATGACACAGGCCTGGGGGGAACATCATGTACACTTTCCAGAGCCCTTCTAGAAAACCCCAGTTCCCGCCCTGTCTCTGTGGCCCTTCAGTGTTTGCCTTGCAGCAAAAGCAGTTCGTTCGTAGGGGAAAACAGTCTGCATTTCCCCTCTGAGGAGACCTGGGTGGCTCTTCTTAACCTTACAAGGGTGGTGGGCGAGATGCCCCTGTGAGAGGCGCCTGGCATAGAAAATGGACTGAGCATGTAAGTTCTCGCCCTGGCCATGATGACACAGCTCCAGGTCAGCAGAAGCACCTGCACTGCTCTCGGCTCATCTCCATCTTCCTCCTGGTGGCGTCCTCTGCCTAACCGGCCCAGGCAGCTTCTTTGCCAGGAGATACATTCAATGCCTGCCTTCTTTTCTTTCCACCCCATTCCCCAAGATATCGACGAGTGCGCCCTCCCAAACATCTGTGTGTTCGGGAGCTGCCACAACCTCCCTGGCTTGTTCCGCTGCGAGTGTGAGGTCGGCTACGAGCTGGACAGGAGTGGCGGCAACTGCACAGGTGAGCTCTGCTCGCGGGGAACCTGCGGCTGGGGGCGGCCGCACACAGTGTGGATGCAGAGGAAAGGAAACACAGGGGTGCAGCAAATGTCCTGGCGCGGATGGGGGAGGAGTTGAAGACAGGGAGTGGGTAGGCACAGTTCGGAGTTTGGCATCAAGCTCCGACCTCCAGAGCAGTACCCTCCCGTGCCCCTCAATTCTCTGCCAGCGGTCACTAGAGCCCCTGGCACCTAGACCCCAGTGTCCACCTTTGGCACACAGAGCATTGCTCTGACGAGCAAGGGCCTCGGGGAACAGAGAGGAAGCAGTTCAGGGAAGCTGTAGGCCCTCGGTAGCTGGCTCCTTGGTTTATGTTGGCACTGCGTAATTGACAGTCATTGGCAGTTCTCCTTCCTAATCCCCCACTTTAGCTCAAGGCTACTGAGAAAATATGATCCACTCTCTGAGGATCAGGACTTGAGGGGAAAAAAATTTTGTTTCCAGCCGCTTAAGCTGCGATTCCATGTTTCTCCAGATTTCAACCCCTCTCTCACGTCTGCAAATGCCCTAGACTGGTATTCCCTCTCGGGATTTTGCTCGTGGCTTTTCTGAACATGATCTAGTCATCAAGCTGGGCCTCTACTTCAGAACATCCCCCCTCCGTCTGCCTCCTTTCTGCAGTGCCTCCGATCACCATAACCAAAAATCACCAAACAAAAACCAAACCCTCGGTGCCGTCAAGTCGCTGGTGACTGATAGCAACTTAGAGGACAGGTTAGAACCATCCCTGGAGTTCCTGACCGTGTGATCACAGCGGAGTAGAAAGGTTACAAGAGTAGAAAGTCCTATCTTTCTCTCAAGGAGTCATTGGTGGTTTCGAACTGCCATCCTGGGCGATCACAGTCCAACATGTAACCACAACCCCACCAGGGCTCCTGTGGGTCACTGTAAGCACCATTATATCTAATCTCATTCCTGTTAGTCTGGTCCTGTTTGGTCAAATTGACATGTGACTGGAACGTAAGATTCTCCTGCCCTGCAAGGTCCTCCTTGAAGAAAGATGACCAGTTCCAGTGGGAGTGGCCTAGAAGCTGCTGTCCCCACCCCCATGGCCCCTCTCTGAGTCACGATGTCAGTGCTTGAGTAGTTCATGAGCTTTTGGAAACAGACAAAGGTCCAAAGGTAAAATTCGCCAAAACCCAGGTCCTGCATATCTGGAAGGCCGTCCATATTTTTGGAATAGAAACGAAAAGGAAATAGCCAACACAGGACAGCAGCTGGGGAGAAAAGAAACGCGCGTGTGTGAGCCTTGACACGCGCTGCACCCAGGCAGGCCCACCCGTGGGGGAAGCTGCAGAAGTTGCCTGCTCCTGAGCGTTCCTTGGGGCATCTTGCTCTGATTTGATGAAAGAACAAGCCACGCAGGTTAAATACATTTTCTTAAAACCTGTGTCTGCGTGTTCGGTTGACCGGGGTCACAGCTATGCTTTGTCTTCAGTTCCCTGGACGGGAACAGGGTTCCTTCTTCCAAAGTCATATTTTATTCTGATGACAAATGGGAATGCCCAGTGCATTCCAGGGGACAAAGACCAAAGACGATGACGCAGTTCCTTCCCGAAGGGTACCATTTCAGAGGTGGAAGGCTGCATTTCTAAGTGGAATTATAACTAATGACTTGTTAAAAATGCTGGTTCAGAGCCCTGGGCTCAGTACTACGGCTCTAAGGTAAGGTCCGCCCTAGGTTAGCCCTGGTGACAGATCTGCCCCTTGCTGTTTGGTTTTAGATGTGAATGAGTGCCTGGATCCAACCACGTGCATCAGTGGGAACTGCGTCAACACTCCAGGCAGCTACACCTGCGACTGTCCGCCCGATTTTGAGCTGAATCCCACTCGAGTTGGCTGTGTTGGTAAGGGAGCCTTGCTAAAACGTTTCAGAGAAGAATCGTTTATTGTTGTTAAAGGAGCACCCAGCATTCTAGCCTGGAATTAAAAGAACGAAAAATCAAGTCATGTGTGAAACTTTACATGTTTCCCTAAATCTTCTTTATACTTTGGGGTACACTTTCTGTGGTCAATTCCCAGCGTGTACTACGGGCCACTGTAGTTTCTTAGTAAAAGTCAATTATGATTTCTCAAGAATTTCTGAAGAGGCTTGAGTTTTTTAATGCTCAAGTGGGAAAAATCTGGCTGACCCTGTGTCACTTGTTTGTGCTCACTAGATACCCGCTCTGGAAATTGCTATTTGGACATTCGACCTCGAGGAGATAACGGAGATACAGCCTGTAGCAATGAAATTGGAGTTGGTGTGTCCAAGGCTTCCTGCTGCTGTTCCCTGGGCAAAGCCTGGGGCACTCCTTGTGAACTGTGCCCTTCTGTGAACACGAGTAAGTCACCATTCTCCTGGTTGGTATCCTGGCTCAGGTCAGTTCTCCTTTCCAGAGCTATGGAGAGAGGAGGCGGCCATGGGTCTCCACGTTCAGATCTGAGAAGGGAGATCAATCTCCCAGCACTGTGGGGAGTCCTCTCTTCCCAAATGAGTGCCACACACTGGCATCCAGTTGATATACTGTCAAATGTTGGTGGGGCAAGTCATGTTCAACTTTGTTTGGAGTGCAAAGTAGACAGCATTGGTTTCAGGAAGATTTCCTGGGCAAATCATGGATACCATATTGTTTAACTTCCAGGGACATATTAGACTCATTGATTGTACCCCTAAGTGAAAGAGAAACAATTCTTTAGACAAATGAGGAAAGGACAATCATTCTATTTTATGGTGTAGCCTGACAAAGGCAAGTGGCTGCTGTTTACAGGGGATATTGGGACAGGTAAAGATTTGTTTCTTGTTGACGAGTCTTGCATTCATTTCTTCTAAACATGTACGACAAGTGTGCAAAGATGAATTAGACTTGAAGTATACCACCTGGTATGCAAAACATGACCTGGTCACATCAGCTATAATTCAATGCAAGACTCTCAGGTGTCCTAAGAGAAGAAAGAAGAACAGACATAGTGCAGTGATTGTTCAGCAAGACAGTGTGAGATGGTAGCAAGAGCACACCTGGTTTCAGATTTGGACTCTACCACTTGCCGCCCACATAACTTTGGTCTGGTTACTTAGCAAGCCTGTGATTACCTAGTAAGATAATAAATGAAATCACATATATAAAGAACCAACCACAGGGACTAATATCTAGCAGTCTTCCCTTCAGAAAGAGAAGCCAGTTCTGGTTAGAAGATAATAATGCCTTTGTGAGTGTTTGCATTTGGGCTTTCAAGGAAAGGTGAGACATGCAATAGGAGACTTAATTAAAAAGAATGGGTGACAGTTTGCAAAAGCCCAAAATTCATTGGCAGAGTCCCCATGAAGATGAAGCCTCCGTTGATTTTCCTTAGAGCTTAGACCATTGACTCAGGATTTGAATAGTCTTGCCCTCAGACAGAGTGCATTGAGAAGTGGATGACTGCAGATATAGTTAGGCTAATATTTAACATACTATAATTTGTGTTTTCCTTTGACCCATTTTAATTCAAGTTTGTATTATCTTCTGCTTCCTCTTGGAATGCGGTTTTTCTTTATTTTATTTTGTTGTCATTGTTGTTTTTGTGGGAGAGGGGGTAACTTTCTTTATATGAAATCCAGGAAAGGTAAATCTATCGAAACAGCAACGAGATTCATAGTTCCTTAGGGTTGTGGTGTAGGAGCCCTGGTGGTGTAGCACGCATTGGGCTGCTGACCACAAGGCCAGCAGTTTGACACTACCAGCAACTCCGTGGGAGAGAGATAAGGCTTTCTACTCCCAACAGTCTCAGAACCCCACAGGGACAATTCTCCCCTGTCCTTTGGGTCACTATGAGTCTGCATTGACTCAATGCTGGTGCGTGGCACTGAAAGAAATGTTATTGAGTGAAAGACTCGCGTGAAAGAATTATTGATAGAGAGAATCCAAGGAGAGAGAAGAAGGTTGTTTTTGGAAACGGAGGGGGTCTGCATTGCCATCGGGAGAGCCACGTGGGTGCAAACTTGCTAGGCATTTAGTCATTAGAGAAAGAGATGGGAGGTTTTCCTCAAACCTCTCTTTGAAAAATATTTGGGAGACCGGTGATTCCCAAGGAAAGCTGTAATGCTCAAGAAGTAAGACTGAACTAAGCATAGAAATGAAAACGGAATTTGTTAGAAAACTAAAATGAAATATTCAGAACAAAATAATGATGGTGATAGGAAATAAAATAGTTCAGAGGACTACAAGATCCAGAGAGTAGGTGGAGATTCAAAGACTCAGGGTAGCGCCCTTCTGTTTGACACTCACAATAAAACCATTTGAAAATCACAAGGATACCAATTGGCGTTGCTGCGTATGGGTGGGGTACCTGCTAAAGAGTCCTGAGAATGGATCTTTCTGTTTGTTAGTATTTCCCATAAGGATACAGTTTCTGGAAATTCTGATTCAAAATCACTCAATTTGATTTTTGCTTCAATAGCTGACTACAAAATTCTGTGTCCTGGAGGAGAAGGTTTTAGACCCAATCCTATCACTGTTATATTGGAAGGTAAGTCTGTTTCCTTTGTGTTAAAGTTGTACACATTTGAACTCTCTTGCATTTATTTACAGTGCTTTAAAAATGTTGTTTTATGTTGATAGATATTGATGAGTGCCAGGAGCTTCCAGGACTATGCCAAGGGGGGAAATGTATCAATACGTTTGGTAGTTTCCAGTGCCGATGTCCAACCGGTTACTACCTGAATGAAGACACCCGAGTGTGTGATGGTAAATGTCCTTTATAGGATGATAAGTCCTTTCTCATATGGAAAACTGCCCTCAGAAGTCAGCATGCAGCTGCCAGGAAAACTGGAGAATTTAGCATTGTAGCACAGTTGTCTGAACATGAGCATATTCAGGTCAATTTATCACATCTGCGGCAGATTGACTGCCCTCATGTTACTGAAATGATGCCATTTCTAAGAAGCGCCAAAACGCCCTCTTTTCCTAAGAAAAAAATTATATAGTCTTGCCCCATGTGTGCCTACTAAAGTTTTCCACATTCTTTCCAAACGGCATACATTGTTGGAGTAGTATACTGGCCTCGTTTCAGTAACTTCTATGTGATGGACCGTCTGGGCTCGCCCTCTTCTTGTCTTCCACCACTCGGACTCATCAACTGCGCAGGGGCATTGAATGGCCTTCTCTTAGAAGGCAACCCTTGGACTTACTGAAGCCACTGCTGACCCTTCAGCACCCTGTTTCCTAAAAAGACTGCTGACCCCCTTTAGGATTCAGAGCATTGGGGCCATAGACCAAGGGTGGCGGGGTGAGGTGGTTTTCAGCTACATAGAGGAGTCCCTTGACGAGTTATGGAAGCGGCTTCCTGTGATCTGCATGAGAAATATTCCCCTCGCCATCAGGTGAAGTAGACAACGATAGCATGAGAGTGTGATTTGAGCATCACCTTGGAAACAACAGCGCTCTAAGACTCGAGGAGTTAACACAGGCTAGGTCAACGCCTTGTTTATAAATGATGGGCGTGAGGAATAACTGCCTCCAAATGACCTCGCAGATGCGTGTTCTCTGCGCCACTTGCTGAGGGCCTCCGCACAAAGCACGCCCCTCTGTGGACTCGACACAGGCCACACATGACTCTCTCTTGGAAGAATTTTGAGAGTCAGATATTTTTCACATTTCCATCTCTCCATGTCTTTGAGGGAGTTCATAGGACTTCCTCTCCTAGAACTCAAAAAAGGAGGCAAGCTTTTATTTTTAAAACCTTCTGGCCTGAAAATGCTTTGGCACAGGTTAGGGAGATTGATGGATTCGGTATATCTTTTTCTTACTGTGATTTCAAAGAGCCCTGTAGTTTTCTCCTCGGTGATCATGTCAATAGACACGCAGTGCCAGGCCATCCCAAAGAGTGAAGTGGTTGAATTTGCATACCCTCTTCTTTTTGCATTATAGACGTGAACGAATGTGACACTCCTGGGATCTGTGGCCCAGGGACCTGTTACAACTCGGTTGGCAACTACACCTGTATTTGTCCTCCGGACTACATGCAAGTGAATGGGGGGAATAATTGCATGGGTAAGTTTCAGCTTTGCACCATATTGCATGTGAAGAGCCTCTTCTGCAAAGTGGGGTGGGGGGGTGGAAATCCAGATTTAACAAGCCAGCAGTTAGTCCTCGGTGTTATGTTACTCATCAAACTGGGTCTTGCCAACCCTTTACTGTCTCTGTGAGAGCCTCCTCCCTGTAAACCAGAGCTTGGCATATGTTCACCACCTCCTCTGGGTGGTTGGGAGTTTTCTTTAAAATGTAATGTCGGAAAATCCCAAACAATGGTTTAACAGTCCTTCTTTTGTTTGACTTTTGGGCGTATCTTTATACAATGATATTTACAGCCCTGACCTACAGTATTAAAACATCGTGAGTCGGAAATGAGAAACTTGCTGCCAAACAGCAGCGGAGAATTATTACGAGGCAACTGGGCAGAGACTCATGTAAAGTTCATTAATGCTACAGCTTCTTAATGATTTATTTCTGTGGCACCGAAATGTCAGGGCGTCCATTTCTTAAAAGAATTTTGTTTCCCCCTCTTGTAACAACTTAGAAAGTTAAATAGGAGAGAAAGGTCTACTTCTTCCTGGAATAAAGGCAAGGTACTTGCTAGAAGATTCCTGAATTTAGGGGGAAAAAAATCTCACTTTTGAGTGTTTCCTTAGAGATCTATGGTGATTTCCCCACTGCATTGCCAATCCTTCCCTCTAGATATGAGAAGAAGTTTGTGCTACAGAAACTACTATGCTGACAACCAGACCTGTGATGGTGAACTCTTGTTCAATATGACCAAGAAGATGTGCTGTTGCTCCTACAACATTGGCCGGGCCTGGAATAGGCCCTGTGAGCAGTGCCCCATCCCTAGCACGGGTGAGTTTGAATTTCCCCTTTCGCACCAATCTAAGCTGATCCTATGAGCCCTGGGCTAAGTCCGTGTCATCAAAGGAAGTGAAGGGTGCGTTGTTCATCGTCCAATGACACAATGGCCTCCTTCCTGAAGGCCCAGTGTTTAAATTCACCCCTGAACCTGGTCCTTCCAGCTGAAAACTGTGATTCCAGAGAATATGCTTTTGCTGTATACACCAATTCAGACACCAGATTGATAGACTCAGAGAAGTTCAAAAATAGAGACCTGGGTGTCATTATTACGGAGTTCGCCGTGTAGCTCAAAAACTAGAAACACTAGGTAAACCAGTCAGACAACAAAGGGAGCCCTAATCTTATTATTTTTCCTTATTCATAGCTACTGTGGCTCTAAAAAGATTGAAAGGCAACCTGTGATGACACAAGGGTAGGGCAAAACTTAAGCATAAGGTACATGTTAAACACGGAGTAGAAAGTTGGAACAAAGAGTGATATTAGAACACAGAACCTAAACCAGAATGTCACTGCACTTGCTGGAGGTGAGCCATAATAGTTTTGGTTCCACACGTTCTAGCGGTCCATAGAAAAACAGTGCACCATCCAGCGTGAGATTCGGAGTGACCGTAAAGCCAACTCAGCTTTGGAGGAAAGCACAGCTCTTCTTGATGTTGAGACCTGTGAGAAATTCCTTCTTATAGCCTCATAGAGGAAATAGTTATTTGTGCTTTTTCTAAAAGTCTACATTACGGCTTTGCAGTAAATGAGGTGAAGATATTTATCTGCTCTTCTTGTATAATGCAGTCTAGGTATAGCTCATACATATGATGATGGTATCATTTAGGAATACTATAATTGTGTGTTAAGTGAATTACCATATAAGATCTTGATTAATATGTTCTTTAGTACCTATATCGTTCCCCTCAGTGATAAGTAAAATATCAGCTGTATTGACAGGGGCTACTGGAAAACACAGGCAACAGAAGATTTTGAGCCATTATTTCATGAGCTGTGGACTGATATGAAGGCCATATTTCAGGGTCCCTAAATAAAACGTTATTAGAACACAGCGATGCTCATTATATACAGTCTATGGTGATGGCAGAGTTCACTAGTTTGATGAAAATCGTACAGCTTGCAAATCCTAGAGTACTTATAATCTGGCTTTATAAGTCAATGTCTGGTAGCCCCGGAGCTTATCCAATGGCCTTCAAACCTTTTGTTCCCATATGTTTATTCATAGTCTTCTGAGAGCTGTACACACGTGGTGGTGTGTCTGTTTACATGTAAAAATCTCTCTCTCTTGATATAAGTATATGTGTGTGTATTTTCATCTACAATTTAGTAGTTATTTTTATGTACTGTTCTAATGTATTGACTGCAGCATGAAATACAACATTTTTCATTTTTAAATGATTAGATTGTGCAGGGTCTCATGTTTTCTTTTTCATACTACTGGGTCTGTGTACATTCCGGCACAGGTTAGTTTGGGAGACACCTTAGGTAGACGAACATGCATTTGCAGAAATGTCTACATTTTAATAATCTGCAGACTCAATGTAATGCATGGTTTCATAGTCATATTCACCACTGGCCAAATCCAGTCATGGCTTTTCATAAGCTGTAAAAACTGCACACATTTTAGGAATCCCCGAAATTTCCCTGGTGACCAATGCCAGCTGATGTGACACTTGTTGAAAGTGGAGAAACGTACATTAAGGAAATAAAGCAGAAGGAGAAGAACATGTTATCTTTTGCTTAAAATAATTTCAGATACATTTCAGTATTTTCATGGTGTTGGACCAGTGAGGCACAATGGCCGCCAGGAGCTTACATTGATGCCACACTCCACAATTACAGTGGTGATCTGGACTTATAGCGGTGATCTGGAATCATGGACTCTCAGATTGATAGACCTCAGGTAGCATTTAGGTCATCTTTTAGCATCAACTTTGATGAGTTTAGACTCCAGAGAGGAAGAGAGAGCACTTGACCAAAAGAAATTCACTTCCAAAAATGACTGACCAAGTTTGGTTGCTTGATCCAAATGAACCATTAACAGAATCGATGCCAAGAACTTGGAGAGATTTGTTATATTCTTCCCAAATCTACTTAGGAAATGCCTTTTTTTCTCCCCCAATGTACGAAGAAAATTCCTCAAGCCCTTAAATCCCTTCCTATGGAGTGGAGAACACCATTTTGTTTTCTTAACTTTGAAATAGCAAATTTGGTGGTTTACAGAGCCGCTCATCAGTTTTACATTCGTACGCCTTTTGTTTCAGCGTTGTATGATCATCCACCCCACTTCTTCCCTGTGCTCCCTGTTTCCGCTCCTCCTTTTTCCCTAGCCCTTTGCACTTTGTTCTGGGGTAAAGGCTGCCTTTTTAATCATAAATGGTTGATGATTTTAAGGGATTGAGTTCAGTTCTGGAATTGGATGGTGTCTTAAGGCCACCATCATGGAGGTCCCATCCGTTTTTATCTGGCCGACATGCCTGGTCCACATTTGTCTTTCATTCGATCTGAATCCTTCTGATGTGATCCTTCTGAGAGCAGTTGATAGCAGTAGTCGGGTACTGTCCAGTTCTTCGGGTCTCAGGGTTATAAGACTTCGATTTGCACAGGCCATCAGTTCATTGGATTAATGGTGTCCCCATGTCTCTGTTTGTCCGAACTTTGCTACTCATGCTGGTGTGAGGCGATGGGGACAGCTGTCCTTGCCAATCCCTGGGTCCAAAGCTGAGAGGTAGCTACGTGAAACCCAGACTCAAGCAAGCATGCCTATCCAGGACGAATGGAGTGCATTGTGGGGACTTCTGTTTCTCCCTTATTACATCCGTGTGAGACCATCTTCCTTCAGTGTTTCCTTTAAGGACCAAGTCACAATCTCTGTGGGAATTTTGATTGAACTTTTCTCTGAAATGCTTCAAAATATGGCATACACAAGTCCAAAGATGAGCCTGTCGAAAATGTTTGCAACATAGT